ACGGGGGCTGGCCGGGGACAGGGGCTGGCCTGGGACGGGTGTGGGGGAGTTCGCTTCAGGCCCCCACCATCTGAGACGAGGCAGTCAGAGAGAGCGTGGGGTAGAGATGGAGGGAGGGTGTGGGACAGCGGGGGGGGGCATGGCCTCTCCCTGTGTGTGTGTGTGTGTGTGTGCCCGTATGTCACGTGTGCGCGCGTGTGCATCCGTGTTTACCGGGCTGATACAACGCTGACTCACTCCTGTAGCCAGCAAAAAATTTGGTAAACCTCTAATTAGATTGATTTAGTGAATTTGGAATCCTAACAAAAACAAAGTTAAAGAAACTGTTATTTATAACCACACAGCCACAATCCTGTACGTATGCGATATGTGTGTGTGTGCGTGTGCGTGTACACAGCTCTACCTCTTTCTCTTTATATGTGTGTATATCCTCCTACTCTTTCTATTTTTACTTTAGCACAAAATGCTACGTTTTCTTCTGATTTTAAAATTAATATATGATTGTTGTAGAATGTTTGGGAAATACGTGAAAGGTAGAAAATACAAGCATCACTTAAATTCTTCTCCCCCAGGGAAGTGGTTAAATTGATTAAATTTCATATTTCCTTCTGCTGCTGGTGGTGGTGGTGGTGGTGGTGGTGTGGGTGCCGATCCTGGGGCTTGAACTCAGGGCCAAGGCTCCCCTGTGATTTTCTTTTGTCAAAACTTGTGCCCTACCACTTGAGCCACAGCGCCACTTCCAGCTTTTTCTGGGCCTTTTATTGCAGATAAGCGTCTCATAGACTTTCCTGCCCTGGCTGGCTTTGAACCTGCCATCCTCAGATCTCAGCCTCCTGAGTGCCTAAGATTTCAGGCGTGAGCCACAAGCGCCAGCTTCCTTCTGGTCTTTTAACTTAATCCATAGCATGCTTATGTTTCTGGTTATTGAAATACTGGCGATCTTGTAGCAAATCAAGAAGTGACCCTTAGAAGAACTCACAATGTGCAGGAAGCGCAGACGCTCAGAAGGTGCCGGGGGTGGGGCCCATGTCCCTGGGAGTGGGGCTCCCTGAGCCTGGGCTCATCAGCTCAGTCTGTCACGCGTGGCTGTGTTCTATGAGCTTTAGTTAAGTGTCTTTCCAAACACAGTGCCAAGGTAGGGTGGGGTGGTGAGGACAGAGTCCCTCGAACCCAGAACCATGGGCCCTGGCCCCCGCACACAGGGAGACTGAGGCTGGGAAGGACACAGCCTGCTAAGTGCTGATGGCCGTGTCAGGCACATACACAAAACCTGCATGTAAGTGGGGGAACGGAGGCGTGCCTGGTCATTGCTAGCCTCTGGCTTCAGTGGACAGAGACCAAGTCTGTACCCCCCAAACCTGAGCGGTGCCCTGGCTCTGGCTCCCCACATCCTAGGACCCCTCGCTGTTCCAGACAGCCTGGGATTCACCCTGGAGCGCGGCGTTCCTGGCACGGGGCTGGGGGGCCTGGACCCCCAAGCTAACCCAGCAGCCGCTGGATTCTGGACAGACTGCCCTGAAACACGGCCCTCTGCTGCCCCCTAGAGCCGAGAATGTGGCACGCGCTTCCCCTCTGCAGAGCCAATCAGACTGGCCTGAAGGCCAGCTCTAGGCCCTGGCCCTGGGCCCCAGCTGCCCAGACCCCAGCCCTGTACCAAGAGCCCTGCCAGGCCTGAGGAGGTCCGTGGTGAGGGGAGGACAGGCTCTTAGGAAGGGCTCTTTCAGGTCACGCCTGGAATCCCAGCTATACAGGAAGCTGAGATCTTGGGCTGGAGGTGTGAAGCCAGCCCAGGCAGGAAAGTCCATGTGCCGTACCTTCCAGTAACCACCGAAAATCCCCAACGAAACTGGCTTGAGTAGAGCACGAGCCACCTGAGCAAAAAAAAGCTGAAGGACAGTGCCCAGGCCACGAGTTCAAGCACTGGCACCGGTACCGAAATGAAGGAAGGTCTCACGGGGAGGGCAGGGCCCCGGGAGCTGCTGTCTTCGGCGGTGAAGGGGTTCCGGGGAGAGAGGAGCAGGCCGGCGCGTTCACCCACACCACACACTCCACACCAACTCACAGACACGTGCAAAACATGTTCACAGGGACTCACACACGCAGACCGCCGTACCTCGCCACCTACAGCCACACAGCCACGCTCACCCGCCCCTGGCTTGGGAACGGGTGGATTGGGAGTCAGGGCTGATGATGGGGGGGGGCCGGGAGGGGCACGTGCACACGTGGGTCTCTGCTCACCTCTGCACAGGTGCAGAGCAGCTGCTGGGCGGACACAGCCCCCCCACACACACATTTCATCCACACCCCACAACCGACATCAACTTCAAACTAGCCCCACGCAGCATGGAGGAGTGGGATCCGAGGTGGGCACCGACCGGGGGGTCACAAGTGGGCCCAGCTGCTCGGGAGGCTGAGATCCAGGGTCACGGTTCAAAGCCAGACCAGGCAGGAAAGTCCATGACGCTCATTTCTGTTAGCCAGCAAAACGCCAAAAGAAGAGCTGTGGTTCAAATGGTAGAGTGCCAGTTGAGCAAAAAAGCTAAAGGACCCAGGACTGGCACACATGTGCGGGTGCACACACACACACACACACACAGGAATCCAGAAAACCCGTGGAGATGCATGGTGGCTGGGGACCCCTGTGAGTGGCCCCTCCCTCCCCCAAGGCTGCCCGGCTCCTTAAACCCCACGCGCATGCTGCCGGGGTGAGCCCCCGGCGGGCAGCTCAGTCCCTCCGGGCCTCCTCCCCTGTGAAGGGAGCACTGGGCAGGAGCAACCTCAGCCTCGATCCTGAAACCTAGAAAACCGGGGAACAGAGCGGCATATACATTAGGTTCTGGGTCACTGTCACAAAGGGCCACCATCGGGGCTCTGAGCACAGCGCTGCTCTGCCTCTTCTGGCTTCCAGAGCTCTGGGCTGGGGCTGCCTGGCTCTGCCATCAACCTCTCCATGCCGCCCCCTGCTGGGGTTCACAGCCCTTCCCTTCCCTTCCCTTCCCTTCCTTTGTCTCTCTGTGTGTCTCTCTCTCGTGTCCTGGGATTTGAACTCAGGGTCTGGGAGTTGTCCCCAGGCTTTTTCACTCAGCTCCACTTCCAGCTATTTAGTGGTTAATTGGAGATAAGTTTTTGGGAACATTTCTGCCTGGGCTGGCCTCTGACCACGATCCTCAGGTCTCAGCCTCCCGAGTGGCTGGGACTCCGGGCGTGTGGACCTGTGCCTGGCTTCTCACCTCTCTTAGGAGGACACTAGCCATTGGGTTTTGTCCCTGCCTGCCCCAGTGTGACCCCACGTTAACTATCTCTGTGAGCCACGACCCTGTCTCCAAGCCTCCCACTGGGGCTTCCAGTGCTCGTGAGTTTGGGGCGTGTGTGTGCTGTGCTTGTGGAGAAGGTTAGGTGCGAGTCAGGTGCGCGTGTCGCTCCGGCTGTGCAGGCCGGCAGGTGGGACGTGCGTGGGCAGCGGGTTTGCTGGCGGCGTGTGGTCCTCACCGGGTGAGGTACAGGGTTAAGGTTGGCTCGGGGATCAGGGGTGACCGCGAGCCCCGGGGTGAGCCATGCTGCGGGGAGGCTCGGCCCTGGGAGCTCCTCCAGCAAAGCCCTCGCCGCCCGCGCCCCGGCCCGCGCCACACGGGGGCAGTGGAGAGCTGGGAACGGCGCTGTGTGAGGGACACTGTGTCTTGCTGGCCACAGGCCTGGCGGCACTGCAGAAGTCCTCCCGTGTGAGAGCCGTGCTCCCCGGGCTCCTCCCGTGAGAGCCGTGCTCCCCGGGCTCCTCCCGTGTGAGAGCCGTGCTCCCCGGGCTCCTCCCGTGTGAGAGCCGTGCTCCCGGGCTCCTCCCGTGTGAGAGCCGTGCTCCCCGGGCTCCTCCCGTGTGAGAGCCGTGCTCCCGGGCTCCTCCTGTGACAGCCGTGCTCCCCGGGCTCCTCCTGTGAGAGCCGTGCTCCCCGGGCTCCTCCTGTGTGAGAGCCGTGCTCCCCGGGCTCCTCCCGTGAGAGCCATGCTCCCCGGGCTCCTCCCGTGTGAGAGCCGTGCTCCCCGGGCTCCTCCCGTGTGAGAGCCGTGCTCCCCGGGCTCCTCCCGTGTGAGAGCCGTGCTCCCCAGGCTCCTCCCGTGTGAGAGCCGTGCTCCCCGGGCTCCTCCGTGTGAGAGCTGTGCTCCCCGGGCTCCTCCGTGTGAGAGCCGTACTCCCCGGGCTCCTCCCATGTGAGAGCCGTGCTCCCCGGGCTCCTCCCGTGTGAGAGCCGTGCTCCCTGGGCTCCTCCCGTGTGAGAGCCGTGCTCCCCGGGCTCCTCCCGTGTGAGAGCTGTGCTCCCCGGGCTCCTCCCG